TCCCTGTCGTGTGTGTGGGGGGGGGGGGGGTTTACCTGGCAGGGGAGTTTACCGGAGACGCCGTCCTGCCCTTCCCGTCCTTCTCCCGGGCCTTGATGTCCTGCACCTTGCCCCCCATGGCGTCCCACTCCACGCTCAGCTCCTCCACCTTCAGGTTCTGGTGACAAGTGCTGGCGTCCAGGCGGAACATGAAAGCTGGAGACGGAGCCCTGGGCACGGTCAGACCTGGACTAAGCACCCACCCCAGGCTCCCCTCCCCAACATCCCATCCCAGCCCCGTCCCAGGGAGCCCTGCTCCCACCATCCCGTATCACCCTGCCCAGGGAGAACCCCTCCCCCCCAAGTACCACAGGGAGGGTGCCCTCCCAATCTCTCTCCCACCCAGGGGTGACCCAGATATGGGGGTGCCACTGAGGTTCCCTGGGTCCCTACACTGGGTGCCTTGCCCTGACTGGCTCTGGGGCAGGACACAGGGAGGGGCCCCTCGGGGGGGCCCCGTGGTGCCAGGGACTGTGTAGGGCACACTCAGCTCAGCCCCATGCCCGTAGCCGCATGCCCACGTGGCCCTGGGTGTCTGGGGGTGTCCAGTGGGCCCTGCTTCTGCCCAGGAGTGGCAGGGGGTGTCCCCTGCCACTGCCTTGTTACAGGCCTTCACGCGGAAATTCATGCATTTCATGTCGAACTTGAGCCCTGAGGGGAGTTGCTGGGGTTAGATGGGAGCAGGGGGCCCATGTCAGGGCTCAGCAGGGCCGGCAAGTCCCCCATAGCCAGCCCTCTGCCTGGCCATCCCCAGCACCCACAACCGGTACAAACTGGGGCATCTGAGAGCTAGCTGCCCCACAGCCGGCGCGCCTGTCCCCTCCCTACAGCGCCTCCTGCTGGGAGAAGGTGGGACTGGAGTAGCTGGGAGCCCCCCCTACCACCAGTGCGCCTGTCCCCTCCCTACGGTGCCTCCTGCTGAGAGAAGGTGGGACTGGAGTAGCTGGGAGCCCCTCCTCCTGTCAGTGCGCCTGTCCCCTCCCTACGGCGCCTCCTGCTGGGAGAAGGTGGGACTGGAGTAGCTGGGAACTCCCCTACCACCAGTGCGCCTGTCCCCTCCCTACGGCGCCTCCTGCTGGGAGAAGGTGGGACTGGAGTAGCTGGGAACTCCCCTACCACCAGTGCGCCTGTCCCCTCCCTACGGCGCCTCCTGCTGGGAGAAGGTGGGACTGGAGTAGCTGGGAGCTCCCCTACCGCCAGTGCGCCTGTCCACTCCCTACGGCGCCTCCTGCTGGGAGAAGGTGGGACTGGAGTAGCTGGGAGCTCCCCTACCGCCAGTGCGCCTGTCCACTCCCTACGGCGCCTCCTGCTGGGAGAAGGTGGGACTGGAGTAGCTGGGAGCTCCCCTACCGCCAGTGCGCCTGTCCACTCCCTACGGCGCCTCCTGCTGGGAGAAGGTGGGACTGGAGTAGCTGGGAGCTCCCCTACCGCCAGTGCGCCTGTCCACTCCCTACGGCGCCTCCTGCTGGGAGAAGGTGGGACTGGAGTAGCTGGGAGCTCCCCTACCGCCAGTGCGCCTGTCCACTCCCTACGGCGCCTCCTGCTGGGAGAAGGTGGGACTGGAGTAGCTGGGAGCTCCCCTACCGCCAGTGCGCCTGTCCACTCCCTACGGCGCCTCCTGCTGGGAGAAGGTGGGACTGGAGTAGCTGGGAGCTCCCCTACCGCCAGTGCGCCTGTCCACTCCCTACGGCGCCTCCTGCTGGGAGAAGGTGGGACTGGAGTAGCTGGGAGCTCCCCTACCGCCAGTGCGCCTGTCCACTCCCTACGGCGCGGGTGCTCCCCCTACCGCCAGTGCACCTGAAGCCCCTGCTGGGGGGGCTGCAGTGAGTAGGTGCCCCCCCAGTCCCTCACCAGTTAGGGTGTACTCTGTCTGCTTGATGCCCTCGATCACCATCCAGGGCTGGTCCTCCTTCACCCGCGGGGGCCCCTCGAAGTTGGTCTTGCGGTACTCCAGGACGTAATGGTCGATCTTGCTGTCCTCATCAGGCATCCTCCAGGCCAGCGTCACGCAGTTGTCGGCCACCAGCGACTCCGCCATGTCGATCTCCGGAGCGCTGGGAACTAGACCAGGGGCCAAGAGCACAGGGATGGCAAACACGGTCCTCATGGTCCCTTCCAAACTCCATCACCCCCTACCAGCCAAGGCCTGGCATGGCCCCTCCCAAAGCTCACATACTGCTGGCCTAGTCTGGCATGGCTTCTCCCAAACCCCACGTCCTGCCAGCATGGCCTGGAAACCCCCTGTCCTGCTGGCACGGCACAGCATATCCCCGCCCAAGCCCTGGTGACCTGCATGGTATGGTCCTTCCCAACCCCCCCGTGTGCTGCCAGCATGGCACCGCGTGCCCCTCCCAGACCCCTGTGTCCTGCTGGCACAGCATGGCATGGCCCCTCCCACAGCCCCACCCTCCTGCCAGGATGGCTCCTGGCCTGGAAACCCCCTGTCCTGCTGGCACGGCACAGCATATCCCCGCCCAAGCCCTGGTGACCTGCATGGTATGGTCCTTCCCAACCCCCCCGTGTGCTGCCAGCATGGCACCGCGTGCCCCTCCCAGACCCCTGTGTCCTGCTGGCACAGCATGGCATGGCCCCTCCCACAGCCCCACCCTCCTGCCAGGATGGCTCCT